GGTCTTACTCCACGCTCGTGTTGAAAACGTCCAAGGATGGAAACTGTGCCATCTCTCTGGGCAGCCTGTTCCTGTGCTTTACCATCCTCACAATACATCTTTGTATCTTCAGGGTGCAAAAGAGTCAGAAGTTCTCTTGTTTCAGTTTGTGCCTGCTCTCTCTTGTACTTCTGTCATGCACCGCTGTGAAGAGCCTTCTTGATTGCCTCCTTGCAGGAGGCTACTGCTAGGTCCCTCTGAAGCTGTCATTTCTCCAGGCTGAATGAGGCTGCCTCTCTCAGCCACCTCTTACAGAGCAGCTTTTCCTGAAAATATTGGTGCCTCTCTGCTGAACTTGCTTCCCTTTGCTGATGCCTTTCCTGTGTGAGGAAGTTCAAATTTGGTTGCAATATCATAGACTGTAGCCCTGAGAGAACTTGATGGATACCAGCAATAATTCTTTAATTCTGTTCTAGACACGTGGTTTTATAAGAAAACAGTATTTGATTAAAACTTTATTCCCATGATATAGGCTGTAGAGAAAATATTTCCATTTTATGGGAAGGGGAAAAGGATGATGTCTTTCCACATTGTCTGAGGGCACACACAGCAGCCCAGAAAGGTCGCGGTCTGCAGTATTGTCCTCTCGTAATAACTTTTTCATATTATGCATTAAATTCAATAAATAATAAATCAGAAGTGCATTTGTCTTAAGAAATTGAGATCTGTCTTCAACATTAAAAAGCCAATGAAGATAAAATGTTTTGCAGTTATGTCTTACATGGCAGAGGAATGAAGTTTTTGAAAGCTGTTTCATTCAGTTTTCGTAGCTGTTGTATTAAATTGTTTCAGCTTTCTACACTGTGTGGCTTGCTACTTGGATCAAAGCTGAATGCTGGAAAACTTGTATTTGCTTTTGTATTTAGAACAAAGTGGAGCATCCTGCCTGCTGTTTTGTAAGTCTTTGCATCAAAGAAAATATGTTCAGATAGGACTGGGGAGGGTTTTCAGGCTCCCTTGGTAAATTTACGTACTATGCAGATGAACAGCTCTTTTAACTGGTTTTGTTATGGCTTAAAAATTGAGATATGCAATATTCTTGTGTAAATCTTCTCTTTTTCAAAATAGTATGTGTATACAGTAATGTTTCTTGGACGATTTCCTCACTAAACTCGGTGAATTGTGGTTGACGTTGAAATTTAAGTGTGTACTGCTTTTACCCAGGGTGTTTTAATCATATTACTTGGAGTATCACCTATTTCTTACTTATTAGAGAATGAATTTGTTGATTTAGTTTCTGTATCAGATCCAGAAGAAATGAATGATGTTAAGTGGCACTGTCCACATGTTGTTTTCTTGTGGCAGAATTGGTTTATGGCAGCATTTTGCATATAACTATTCTGCAACTCTGCTACTATATTATGGTTACATTAGGTCTACATAGTTTTCCTGTGTGAGAGAGGCTGTAAGGCAAATACTGCTCTATGTGTAGTACAGAACTGAGTAGTGGAAAAAGTTAAGTTGCTCTTTTCTGTCACACCAATGGCCCCCAGTGGAAAAATTAACAAAAACCAACACACCTCCACACTTCCCAAAATCTTTGATTAAAAAAAAAAAGATACTTGCTTTCTACGTGAGCATCTGTGTTGGAGTTTCTGCATCTAATTGGACTGTTGGGGCCATCTGTCCCAACCACTTAATCCTATAGGAGCCATAGTTATTTACATCATTGCAGAAATATCTGTGCCAGCATTGGAAATGAGAGATGCATGTGCACGTGTCTATGTATGTGTTCCAGATCACAGAATCACAGCATGGTTTGGGTTGAAAGGGACCTTAAAGCTCATCCAGTCCAACCCCTGCCATGGGCAGGGACACCTCCACCAGACCAGGCTGTTCAAAGCCCCATCCAACCTGGCCTTGGACACTTCCAGGGAGGGGACATCCACAGCTTCCCTGGGCAACCTGTGCCAGTGTCTCACCACCCTCACAGTAAAGAATTTCTTCCTAATATCCAGTCTAAACCTACCCTCTTCCAGTTTAAAACCGTTACCCCTCGTTCTATCGCTGCCTGCCCTTGTAAAAAGCCCCTCCCCAACTTTCCTCTAGGACCCCTTCAGGAACTGGAAGGCCTCAATAAGGTCCCCCCCGGAGCCTTCTCTTCTCCAGGCTGAGCAGCCCCAACTCAGCCGGTCCTTGTAGAGGAGGTTCTCCAGCCCTCTGATCATCTTCATGGCCTCCTCTGGACCTGCTCCAACAGCTCCATGTCCTTCTTATACTGGAGACCCCAGAACTGGATGCAGTGCTCCAGGTGGGGTCTCATCAGAGCAGAGTAGAGGGGCAGAATCACTCCCCTTGCCCTGTTGGCCATGCTTCTTGTGATGCAGCCCAGGATACAGTTGGCCTTCTGGGCTGCAAGCGCACATTGCCATCTCATGTTTAGTTTTTCATCAGCCAACACCCCCAAGTCCTTCTCCCTGGGACTGCTCTCCAGCCATTCTCCACCCAGCCTCTATCTGTGCTTGGGACCTAGGTATTGAAGCTGTGGATAGGTTCGGTTTGTACGCCTTTACCTTGTCTGTGAAATCACCATCTGCGTTTTAAGTAGTAATCCTTCTGTTTCTCTGCTCTTCCTGTTTAAAGTGCAAAGTTGGTCCCAAAATGCAATTGCTCAGGTATTTAAGAAGTGTTTACTTTCCAGCTGAAAGTTCTGTTATTAGCAGTAATATTTAGTTGATTAGTAATGGACTTGCTTTTTAATTATAGCAAGAGGACCTTCTGAAGGCTTGGTGAATTTATTTCGTGGGGAATAATAAAACATAATAAAAAGTGCTAATATGGTGTAATGGGTAACTTCATTTCCTAAATAACCCTAAAGCACTTCTGGAATGCAGTCCTTTTTCTTAGTCTTAATTGTCGAGTGAGTTATTAATGACTACAAGCCTGCAAATGAGAGCTTGTTGACAGTTCATCTGCCCGTGGAGAATGCAGCTGACAAGGTACTTTCATTATTAAAGCTAACAGTGTATCTGTGTTTTTGTTAGTCACCCTAGTCCAAGTATCAAAGGTTAAACAAACTGCTTCAGTCCTGATTTGAAAGGAAAGACTTCTAGCTTAAAACTGGACTGTGTGACAAATGTGGAGTTTAATTGTTACTGTTACAATTTATTTATTTCTTTGATAACATCTGCAAGTTCCTATTACTTTCTTTGGACACATACCCAAAATTAGAATGTAAACTCATGTAAAAATGCTTATTTAGGAAACAATACTCCTCAGTCCTTTTCTGAGAAGGTGATAATGGTTGTTTTGTAGATGATGTAGTAGTAGATGTAGTCACTGCAAGCTCACTGAAAACACTTTCTCCTGATCTGTGGTTTCCTGGGGAAGCTGAATAGTAACAAACAGTGAAGGTACTTCAGAGTCTCCCCTCTGTAGAGGTTGGTTCTCACCAGTCTGAGGGGTGAGTGCTGTTGCTGGCGCCACGGGGCCAAATAGGTTGTTCAGTTTTTAATGGCTGTAGGGCTAGAATTTTTGTAATAGGCAAAGCTGGAAAAAGTCCTTCTGGTGTAAAAAGTTGTCACAGCTTTCAGCTTATCACTGAAAATGTTCATTGCATTGATCCCTTACATGTGACTCCCTGTGTCAGGCATATTGGAAAAGGGATGAGAAATTTCTAACACAGAAAGTATCCTCTGCCATTCATGGTCCAAGTGGGACTTAGTGTGGGCAGTTTGTGGGTTTGGTTGTGAGGAGGTGGTGGTGGTGTAGTTTTTTGAATCGTTTGGTTTGTTGGTTGGTTTTGGTGGTGGTTTTTGTTTGGTTTGTTTGGTTTTGTGTTTAAATCAAGGCCTGTCCTGAGCTATTTATATTTGAATGTGACAGATGCATGAGCTGATTGGTTTTTAGCTGTCCTTTACAGAACGAGCGTTATCTCTTCAGAATTTGAATGTTGTTTACCTAAATATTCTTAACTAAACCCATAAAAATTCCGAACTCTAAATAAGTGAGCTCTTGCTTCATTACAGTTCCTAGGCTCCCTAACAGCCTGATAGCCATGACCTTTCTAATTCTGAAGTGACATCTTCGATTTCTTTTTTCTTTAAAATTCATGATTTTTATAGATTGTTTCTTTGGACAGGGCTGCAGAATAGAGGGCTTAGTAGGTGTGAGACTATATGGAAATTGCCTTGTGTTTTCTATAAAATTAATTGAAATTATGGACTTCGGAGAGGAGGGTAGACTACCAGTTTATGTTGAAATAAGCTGTCCTCACTCCACATTTTTGTGCTGTATGAGTAGAGTTACACAGATTGTCTGTAACGGATAGCAATATTTCACAGAGGGTGGCAAAACATCCAGATGCTACTCTGAGGGGAAAGCTGATAGAAAATCCTCATTTTAATTCAACCCAGATGAAATATTAAATTATGGTTTTTTATATAGGCCATGCAGCTGAGCAACTAAGGTTGTGTATGATCCTCTGCATGGAGGTGGAAAGAAAGAAAAGAAATACCGTGCTGGAGGGAAAAAAGCACGCGACAAATGGCTTCCACGAAATTTCTCCCTGTGATCTCATTAAATACCACAAGCTGTGTAAAATATTGTCCAGCAGTATTTCAGATTATTTTACTGGTTCTGTTCTGTGAAATCCACAGGAATACAAATCAGTAATTTATGGTGTGTGATTTCTGTGTTATGCTCAAATAATCTGGTAACAGTCAATAATCGTAAATTCAAGTGCATCTCCCTAACTAAGGATTCCAACTAGTTTACTTTTAAAACATTAACCTGTTTAATAATTAAGTAGTACAGTGTGCCATTGGCAAAGTCAACAAGAACCTAGGAAGGAGCTGAAGACATTTCTACCTTGAAAAGTACCTCAGAAATACGTTTCATTTCTGGAGTAGCAGCAGCAACAGAGCATCACTATAAACAGTTCTGCCTTTTAGAGATCAGAGATAAATTGTACTAAGTTTAGCAATATTAATTTATCTTTTTTTTTTCCTTTTTCTTTTCAGCCATAATCAGCAGACCACGTCATTTAGGCATCCTGTGACAGGACAGGTTTCTCCAGAAAATATTGAATTTATTTTGCGAGAAGAGTAAGTAGTTTTATACCCATGTCAAGAGCTCTGAAATAGTAACACATTTACATACAGTAGTTTAGTAGTTTGACAGTTCTGGTATGGTAGCACAAATGTCATAGAGATGGTTTATGCTTAAAAATAATACATACCTATCATTGTTGATAGTATGGTTTTGATTCTAGCACTGTTCCACGTTAGCACTGGAGAGAAAGTCTTTACCAAATCTTTTTAATGAACCAAATAAAAATACTAAAAAATAAACAAACAAAAGCTCCAATATAAATAGAATATTTAAACAGCAATGCTTTAGCCTTATATAAATATCAGGTAGAACATGTAAAATGTAAAATGTCTTTAGAGCAAACTGGAAGGTTTGTACTGGAACTGAAATACAAAAAATATTGCTAGATCCATTGTCACTTCCTGGTTTTCTTATGTTTTAGGTTTTCTGCATTCCCTGTCTTGGACTCTTATTTGTTTAAAAATTTTTGATTGGGCGTTTTTCAATTTATTCTAGAGAAATAGAAGCATATGTATTAGTTTCCAGAATATTTTATCTTGATTGTCCAATTTTATTTTTTTTAAAACAAAATCTAAAAAAAAAAAAAAAGAAAGAAGAAAGAAGAAATCCATGTGTTCAAGCTGGTGCATCTGGGCATGTCTTTGGTTCTTGTTTTGGATCACACCCTGTTTCACTGTAGGGTTTTAATATTGCTGTCATCCTTGCTGTGTGCTGGAATCCCTTCTGTAATGGGATGTCTGGGTATCTTCCCTAGACAGAGTCTAGTGGAGCATTCTACATAATTTCTAAAACCACTCCAAAGGGCAGGAGGAGTGGGACAACACCAGGTAGCTTTTCCTTTTCCAGCCTAGTCTTCCAACAGTGTTTAAGGAGCCTCTAGCCCTTCATGCATTGCAGAAGCTGGGCATTGGGCTGTAATGCCTGGATTTGGTGGTTTGTATGACTGCCTACATGATCACTTTACATTTCAAATTATAGGACATTTAATTTGCTTTACATTTAATTTAAAGCAGCATAGCATTAAGAAAAATGAGGCCCAGAGAAGGGCCATGCAAGACTCCCAGGAGATGGGGCCTTTTCTGGCGATGTCTTCTGTTGTGGACTTGGAAAGGAAAGGAGAAGTAGAGCATGGCTGTACAGCTTTCTGCTCAGAGTTTCTGTTACAGCCCCAAGTGCTTCTCAAGTGGTTCAGAAAACAAATCAACCAGCCAAAAACAATAGCAACAAAACCCCAACAAAAAATCGGAATAACTGAACAGCTGGCCTGCCCCAAGCCCAAAGCAAATCCAAGGGCCAATCCTATGTTAAGGCCTCTGCTGAGAACCAGCATGAAACAGAACACTAAACATACTTTGAAGTGTGTGGGAAAGGCCTGTGATTAAGTACAAAGACCGGGGGATAGCTGCTGAGCTGGAGGTCACCCAACATGTACATGGTGTGTGGGTGCTCAAGAGGAGTTTGGCTTCTTACAGGTATGTAATCAAGCTGCTCCGGGTCATTCAGTGAGGGGAGCAGGTATCTTGCAGTGGAGCAAATCTCAAAGACGGTATGGACAACAGTCACTGTACACCTGTGCTCCAACTTCATCCATTCATTGCTTTTTATTTAATCTGTTGTAAAGGTTCAAATTTAATATAAAGAAAGCAGTTGGAAAGATAGGCTCTGGATTTGTATGGTCTATGGAAACCTTCCATCATGGGATCCTTTCAACCAAGCATACTTTTTTAGCTGGAGGATCCTGTCTGAAGTAATAACACTCCTAAGGGATAAACAGCGATCTGTATTTCTCAGTGCTGATTTATTACTTAAGGGTTGATTTTACCATTAGGACCAAAGCCAGAAGTTGTCACCAGATGCTGACTGAGAGCTAGTGGGGAGTTTTAAGCACAGACTTGTTCAGGCTGCAGTAAACATATCTATTAAAAGGACACATGTAACATCAGAAAAGTAATTTACAGTAATCTAGAAATGAATGTGTGGACTGCTCTGGCCATTTCTCACCCAGGAAGCAATGTTCTGTCAAGAAGATTTGAAAATAAGTGTTGGAAAATGGTGTCAATAAATGTTACAATCCCCTTTTAAGGCATTTCCCCTTTTTGACAATATCACATCGATCTTGCTTTTTAAGCTAAAATCTGATTTCTTCAATGGCATTGTAACTCGAGGAAGAAACCAAGGATTATTGCCTGGAGCCTGCAAGTTTGAATTCTGTTATATTTTAACCATTATCGTATTCCTTCTTCCTCGGGGTGTTCTTATTTAGATTTTTTTTTTTTTTGAGACATAATGCTTAATAATTCCTTATTTCCTAACCCGTTCTTAGCTGAGACCACTGTCAAATCCTTGCCTCTCGTTCTGTCTTTAGAAGCTTGGCAGATCTGGTCACTTAGTGTGTGGGATGTGTGTTTGGTACCTTCCACTAGCCCTGCTTGAGAGCTAGCTTTTCTGTAGGATGCTTTTAGATTTGTCTTTCTTCTGATGGAGTGATTATAGGTGAATGCAGTATTCAACATATGAGCTCATTAATAATAATTTAATTGTACTTTTCTACTCCTTTCCTAATAATTCTTATTATACCTTGGCTGCTGCTGCTCATTGTGCTAAGATTTAAAAATAACCTTTCCTTAGATTGCCAGTGTTGTTTTAAGTGATAAAAGCTGCAGAGATGTTTCTAATTTCTCCCTCCTTTGAATTAGTTTTCTGTTGTTGACACTGAATTAATTTTAGCATCTTATCACTTATATCTGAAGATTATTTTTCCCTCCGTTCCTGTCAGCATTTCAGTTTTTGTCCAGAGTGCCTTTTGTCCTCCATTGACTTGGTCACCTCACAGTTTCTAGCATCACCTCAAAACAATTTGAGCATCTTGACTGTATGGGAAGTCCTGCATGGTAGCTTCCTTCCTTTCACAACTGTCTTTTAATTTCTGTGCTGTACTTTCATGCTGTTAATGAGCCCTTAATTCACAGGGAGACCTCTCCTAAACAACCAGTGGAAAAATGAGTATTAATGATAAGGATGGGACAGGTATTAGATCTGGTTTAATCATGTTGTTATACATGCATTTCTCTGAAAAATCTATAATAGAATTACTTGGGACAGATGTATGTAATGTTTCAATTTCTTCTCTCTTATCTTTCTTTAAGTAATAGTTCTTTAAATAATTGTGTACAGAAAGCAAGAGGCAGGCACTTACAGCCATGTATTTAATTGTATCCAAACATCAGTAGTTGTGTATTAGAAGCTTTACAATGTATTCATGATAGTGGTATATTTGCAGATGAGAAGATAGTACTTTGAAGTTAAAAAATGTATCAACATAATTGTAGAAATATAGAAAAAAGTAGAAATATAGTGTGCTTAGTACAATGAGTATTATCCTTTTTCTGCCTGTATTTTTGTGCAACTGATAAAGCCTGCTTATCACATGTGGCGAGAGAGCCACCTTATTTTGTCTGTTGCATTTGGTTACTGTAGCAGCAAAAACACCAGGTGAAGAGAACGGAGGAAACCCAAACAGCCCCCAGATAAACATCTCCTATGTTAACATGTATAGAAATACTAGGATAGGTAATTTTTTATCTAGCTGAATAGGAGATTTATTAGTATGTAAATGACATTGTATTAATAGTATTAAAAATAACATCTATGTTTTTGTGTCATATTTGGTTCCAACAAAATAAACTTTTTAAGTTGCTGGTGTGAATGTGGATGTTCCAAGTCAACTATTTATGATCTTTTAGAGAAAAGGAATGTGTTCTATTGCAAGTATTGCATTTTCAGTGTGGGCTACTTGTGTAATAAGTTTTTTTTAGTTGTTATTCAGAGGATTTTTTTAATAAGACAGGTATTGCCCATGCAATCCTTTAGAAATTACATCAGTTGATGTAATTTCCACAGACACACTGGCACTATGAAGACAGAATGGGATGTCTTGAATAACAGATAATATCAAACATCTCTGCTAATAGTGACTCTGAACTAATGTTTCTGAATGCACAGAGTTAATACTATCGTCACTTGTTTTTAAAGATTAATCTATAAACAGACTTAAAACCAGACTGAGAATATTAATTAGCTATTAAGAGACTTGAATACTTGAATTTTGTCGTGTTCTGATTTCATGCAGATCTATTTTATCCTTTAAATACTATATACGAGCACTTAATTTTCAGTGTTGCTTGGTGTTTTCTGTTACATCTCATGTGCAGGAAGTTTGGATCACCAGTGTTTGTTGCCAAAGGCTTTTTTTTTTAGGAGGATAATAACGTGTTTTCTCTTTTTGGAGGATTTACAGTCTCTTTTGCTGACTGTGTGAATTCTTTCATATGGCAACAACCTCACATTTTTAAAAAAAGCATTTTTCTAATTCTGTATTTGTTCTTTTCCTAGTTGAAATTTGGCATTAATCTTAGTACTGCTATGAAAGGAAAGCTTAATTTATTGGCAGCGATCATTTTCAGTAGCAAGTGGAAGAGATATTGCTAAATGGCCAAATGACAAATTCTTGGAAACCTACTGTGAAATAGTATTTTGTGGAATAGTGTAGAACTGTTCGGTCTAAGTTTGCCTGCCTGGGGTGGTAGATTAAAGCCATTCCTCTGGGGTTATTTTTCTTTCCATACTAATATTTTGGTTGGAAAAAATACTTCCAATTTGTTGATGATTAAATTTTATTTTTCATTTTTGTCTTTCCTGAGAAAGTTGGCTCTCTGTGAAGTAACTACTCCATAGAATGAATAAATGTGATCCAATCAGATTGCCTGCAGTCTGGAAAGCCTACAGATTTTCTGCATGTGTATGTGACATGCGCTCTCCTTTTCCCTCTGTGTCTACTTTCCCCCCTCCTCACCCAGTGAGTGTCTGGAAAGTGTCATACAGTGTCCTACAGTATAGGACTCGGCCACTTGTGGTGTGGACATTACAAAGAATCTAAACCTCAAGGAAAGAAGAGAAAGTTTGAGTCTTCTAAGGCCATTTTCCATGCATGTGTTTTGTTTTCACACTTTTGCAACTCATTTCTAGTGGCCCTCTTAATGGTATAAAATTTAATGCTTCAGTTTCATTTTCAGGAGGCAATATAGAAGGCTGTCATATCTGTTAGTGTTCCTTCCTCCTTGAAATATCTACTCGGTGTGCTTGCCTCGAGCAGGGAAATATAACCTTTTTGATAAATAAATATTAGGAAAGTGCAAGGTTTTGCAAGTAAAATGCAGGCACATTTTAAGTCTGCGTTTTCCACCTGTTTTGAAAGTTTACAGTGTGGAAAGGGAACAAATGAGAACAGAGTCAAAAGCAGATTAAGACTGGCTGATCAACAGAAATAGCTTAGTCAAGCAGCATTATATACAGGAAGTGTCTTAAATCTGCTCTTTGCTCAAACTGGGTATTTGTGAGGCCAGTTAAATGCTGAAGTAGAATACCTGGACCATAAGAAGTAAGGCAAATTGACTCAAACTGATGTGATGAAGCTTTCATGCACTAAAGGCTGGCCATGGCTTTTAGAGACTTCTTGTAGTTCGTTCTCATATCTTGAACCTGAATTTATGTATAAAACCTAGGAAGAAGGGATTTATGACAGATAAGCAATGCATAAGGTAAATGGAATCTAAGTTATATTACTTCCTTGCAAGCTTGAGTGAAACTGTGTGGTCACAAATGGAAAGATGTGCTTTCCCTGACACCAGATCAACTAGAAAAGCTTTTGGACAGGTGATTGTTCAGGTTGTAACCGAGGAAGAGTAACGGTGGCAAACACCTTTTCCTCAACTGCACCCTCAGTTGAGCTACCACAGTCACAAACTCTGTTCTGATTGGTAGTTGCTCAAAATTGCTCTGTCCTCTGTTGTGTTCAGAATTGGCTTGTGTGCCTTGTTGGGGTTTGTTTTTGTCTTATAATTGGCTTTGTTGACTGAGCAAGATGGGAAAATGAAAATAATCGGTTGTTAATAGTTTGGTTTGGTTCGGGGTTTTTTTTCTGATGTGACTGTATTGATCCTGCTTGTTCCTAAATTACAACCAACTGTGGGTGTAATTTGCAAGTTAGTCGAGCTTGGCTGCTGAGGCTTCTCTTCACAAGCTGCGTATGGGATTTCACAAGATTTTGCACTGATGTTTACCCTCTCGTTTCTTCACCTGGGCAGCTGTACTGAATTCTTACCTGTTGAACAAGTTCTTATGGTAGGATTGATCTCACTTATGCTTCTAACAGGTATCTGCGTCTAAGCTGGTTATCAAGACTTCTTGAATCTCAGTATGACTCAGAAGTTATTTATTTCTAACAAAGTCTGTCACGAATTGCACCATTTCACTTAAAACATATTTTAATAGTTCATATTGTATTATGAATCATATTTTGGGTACATTCAGAGATGAAACATGAAGGTAGTGAAAGATCTAACAATAAGCTAGTCTCACTTTGATTTTAAATAAGCATGTTATTGCAGAGTGCTGACTCCTGTCCTTCCCTCCCCAGCACTGGCTCTTCCACATATCTGCAGCCAAGCCTCTAAATTTGACACAGTTTAGTTTCTCTGCATTAGCCTTACCTTCTCTGAGTGCTCTTTGTCATGTCTTGATTCTGTGTTGGATCTGCAGACTATTTGGCAGGTTTCTTCTTCGTGACACATTGGCAAATACCATTCATCAGATGTCGTTGACAGCATCTGCTTGAGAAATACCTGAAACCAAAATAACAGGAGTGGTGCACAGGAAGTTGCAGATGCATGGGAAATGTTTGACTAGCCTGTCACTCATTTGCTTACTGTGGATCTTTAATATAAAATGGTGAAGCTGACTGAAACAATGAGCTTTAGATTCTCTTGTTTTGTTTGTTTCTAGACAGACTTCATCTATGTCCAAGCAACAAATAAACCAAAGACCTTCAAGCATGATCAGTGAAACATCTACTGCAGTAACTACATCTGCTGTTAATACAAAACCTGGCTCTAAGGTAAAGAAAAAGGGCTATTGCTTCAGCTTGATGATTAGAACGTCACTTGCTTTCAATCCAGTACTCTTCTAATACAGATTTTAATGGGGCCCTGGGTTTAGCCTAAAACTCTTATAAATGTTATTGCAAAGTGCTGACTCCTGTCCTTCGCTCCCCAGTGCTGGCTCTTTCACATGTTTGCAGCCAAGCCTCTATAACTTACTGTAAGAGGTAATATCTTCTACACAAGCAGAAACCTTTTTACAGCATAGGAGCAGCGTATACCCACACAGCAGAGTTGGGTGATAGTGACATGAAAAGTTTGAGAGACTTCTTAAGAAAGGAAGTAAGTATATAGAATATTGGTATTCCAGCAAGTCTTTTGATAGTCCAGTGTATGTGGCAAAAAGTGCTGCAGAAAACCAGGAACTGTAATCTGCAGTTCTTACTTTTCTGTGAAACCTTACTGCTGCTCCTCCTCTTAGTAACAGCTTAAATCCTCTTCTGCCATCGCTGTAGCGCACAAACAGGCAGACACCAAGTTTACACACAGAATGTTTAATAATAGAAAAATACGTTATTTGGCATTGACAAAGGGCCTGTGTTTATTATTGCACAGAATATAATAAAGCACTGTACTTGAAGTGACACCAACTATTTTAATGCTTCTTTGACCTTACAGTAAATTACAGTACAGTGAGAATGTGAGGGGGCTGGAAGCAAAAAAAAATACTGGAGGAATTAGCAGAGATAAGATAGATTTGTTAACTTTGCCTGTTACAGTGAAGCCTGTTAAGTAGTTGAGTTGAAGACAGGACTTTGCCAAATTGGTTGCAAAGATATTTTTGTTGAGCTGGAATCACCTAAAATCTTTTTCTAATGTTTTGATTTGCCTGGGTGAATATTGGAGAAGAAATAATTTTATGAAAAGCAGAAAAAAAAAAAGTTAGATCCAAACTGTGTATGTTATTGGACCAAAACAAAGACTGTCATGTGTCAATTCCTGAATTACTTGATAAATTTCATTTTTATGTTTTAACAGTTGAACTTACCAAAGTACTTGAGCATGTCTGTTTACTGTATTTATCCTCCTTATTCTCATTTTTTTTAAGCCAGCATTAGAGGGAGAAGGCTCATTTTTTCACTTAAGATGCTCATCTCAAAGCAGAGTATCAGGTCCCCATTAAGTTTGCTGGTTTAAAGAGTAAAAAAAAATGAGCCACAGAATGTTAGGAGTTGGAAGGGACCTGGAAAGCTCCCCCAGTACAACCCCTGCCAGAGCAGGATCACCAGAGCAGTCACACAGGAACACGGCCAGGCGGGTTTTGAATGTCTGCAGAGAAGGAGACTCCACAACCTCTCTGGGCAGCCTGGGCCATGCTCTGCCACCCTCACACTGACAAAGCTTGTCCTCATCTTCAGCTTGAACCTCCTGTGCTCCAGCTTGGGACCATTGCCCCTTGTCCTGGCATTGGACATCACAGAGCAGAGCCTGGCTCCTTCCTCCTGACACTGCCCTTTCCAAATGGATCCCCATGAATGAGGGCACCCCTCAGTCTCCTCTGCTCCAAGCTCAAGAGCCCCAGCTCCCTCAGCGGCTCCTCATAAGGGAGATGCTCCACTCCCTCCATCATCTTTGTGGCTCTGCTGGACTCTTTCAAGCAGTTCCTGTCCTTCTTGAGCTGAGGGCCCAGCACTGGACACAATATTGCAGCTGTGGTGTGAGCAAGGCAGAGCAGAGAGGCAGGAGAACCTCTCTGCCCTACAACCACCCCTTCTCATCCACCCCAGGATGGCGTTGGCCTTCTTGGCCGGCTCCCTATGTGGCGCTTTTTTTTTTTTTTTTACATCGCAGCTTTAGACTTCGAATAGAACTTTCATAGAAGGCTTGCTTGTACTTTTCTTCTCCACTAAGTTCATTTATATAAGATGCATCCTGCTGCAGGCCATTGATAAATACTTTACTGGAGTTTAGACAGCAAAGGCTGTAAAGCGAATAACCTGTGTCCTCTATTTTGAGGGTGACTTTTGACACATTAGGAGTAGATTTTAAGATCCTTCAATCTGTTTCTAAACGTTTTCTTCCATGAATTCCATGATCATTCTTTCAAAGAATGAGTTCCCAGTTACAGACCTGAGACACAGTCCTGAACCCAGAGACATGTTCTGTTTCTCATGGCAAAGGTCTCTAGCTACCCATAGCTAATTATTATTTTTTTATGAAATGCTTTCATAGTTTAGTTCTGCAAATGCCATTACAGAACTGTGTAGGTATAGGGTTGCAATTGGCCAAATTCAAACTAGTTTTTATATAGAGCTATACTCATTTGAGTAGTACCAAATCAGGAAGTGCAGGAACAGGTACATGGCTTTCCACTTTTTCTCTGCAAAAAGTTGACAGCTAAGGATTGCTCCATGTGGGGCAGAGGGGGGAAGGTAAGGTGCCAACTGTGCAGTGGATTTGTCATTCTCAGTTTATGAGGAAAGAGACAAGACTTCTGGCTTACTTGTTTCAGCGTTCAAGTCTGATCTGGGATTGAATAAAACCTCTGAAATAAAAAGTAATTGGAAAGAGAATTTTGCATGTTCTGTCCAACAATGTCAGCTGTACAGTGCACAGCAAGAAGAGTATGTTAGAAAGATAAAAAAGTCAAAATGAGGCTTATACTCATCTAAATGTTTCATTGATGTGTGTATAATGCACAGGGGGTTGGGGAATATAAGGCAATATGTATTCAGCAGCCAGTGGTGACAGGTCTGTGGTGGTGCCAGCTCTGTGGGACTGTTTGAAGCTGCAGTGTAGAACACAGGGGTTGTAGTTCAGGGCTGCTATAAATGAATGCTCAATAGTAAAAGCAGGAATTTCTGAGAGTTTCAGTTTTTCCTACCTGAAAAATAAGGATTTTCTCTAGTTTTTATAGAGATACTCAAGGGATTAATGAGGTCATTTGTTAGTAAAACATTGACATTTTTTGAATTGAAAAGTTTATGGCTTTAAACAGGTGGTGCTTTTGTGGGCTTGTTTGTTTTGTTTTGTTTTTTCTTAATTCCCTGTAATTAATTTCTCTTATGTGTATATATATACATATTTTTACCAATGTAACTGTCTTCCTTTTTGCTATTTGGAAAATCTGTTCCAAGTGAAAGGCTGTTTACTTTTTTTTTTTTTTTTTACTGTCCAGTTTTGGGGAAAAACCCTACATTTTATAATTCAGTTAGTAACTTTCCTCTACACCTAGAGGATACTGCAGGGAGGAAGATGAGGCACTGATGAAGAGGGATTTGAAAATTCTGGTGCTTGATATTTTGTGGTTTTTGCAAAAACTTGTGAGTCATTCCCAAACAAGCCAGCATAACAAATGTACTGAAGTTAAGAGCGACTTCTTTGTCCTTAGTGACACAGGCAGCTGCTCTGACCAGTATTTTTCAACACACAACAATGATATCAGAATATGTTAAGTTAGGAAAAGACTACTGCAGTGCAGACAAATAGTTTTAAGAATATACCTTTTATTTTCAACTCACTTTTTATTCTAGCCAGTGGGAGCAAGGTGTGACATTTAGTATCTGTTATGCTTTGTTTTATTCCAGAGCAGAATGAGATTATTAATACTACAGATGATATGAAATTTTTCATTACAAAGCACCATAAAGTGGCTTTTTTGTTTCTATTGAGGGTATTGTATTGATACAGAATACACAGCCTTAGTAAAGCTTTTCCCCGTCTTGAGTAATACAAATTGTTTTGTCTCCTGACCAAGTCCAAGGATGACTTTTCTACATTGTCATCTGCATTTTTAAAAAATTAAGTAAGGTCGAAATGCTTTATCACTGACACAGGTTGTGATGAAAAGATCAAATTTAAACCCTGCTGTAAGACTAGATCAGCTATACTTCAATGGTTCCTCAGTTCATCCACCCTTCCTAGGATAAATAAAAGAAAGAAAAATTAGGAAACTAAATTTATACGTTTTGTAAACTGGTTTCTGTTCAGGTGTAAAGCATAGATTTTTTGACTTTCAGAGCCTTAAACAGCTAGGGCCTCATTATTTCTCATCACCCTTGTAATGTAGCTGTTGCATCTAACTTGGCAACAGCTTTTTAAAATCTTGACTTAATTGATTACTTCTCATTTTTCTTAAAAGAAAATCTATATGCCTTGGCTTGATGATCATACAACCAGCTTGGCTGTCCTCATGCTACATCTTTGTGTGCTCTTTTAAACTGGTATTTGGACACAGATTCACAAGTTATCTTTTGATTTTTCAATAGCAAACACAAAATACCTGACATCTTATTTCTTCCTTCCTTTAGTCTCAGACTTGCTGCTTGTAGGTCTGTGAGCGAGTACCGAGAAATTTTGTGGGCATACCTGGCATGCTATGTTTGCACAAAGCTAGTGCTCTGCAGCCTGTTAGCTGAGTGCCTTAGCACAGGTATGGCAGAGAAATGGGCTGGAAGTGATACCATCCTCACCTGGCTTTTACTGTGAGCTGGTTATTGCCAGCTGAACAGTGAGTGCATCTGCTCAGTAACCTGTTGTAAGGGATTCAGCAGCCTGGCGTGTCAGGTTGGTGGTAGCCCTAGAGAACTGGGCTGCTCAGGTGGTCTCCTGTGCTGCCCTGGGCCACCAGTTGATGCTGTGCAGACTCTCGGTGAGGTGTTGCTCCTGGGGAAAAGCCCATACTTGGCGTTGTTCCTGTCTCCTGAGTGCCAGGGTGTTTCACGGAAATGACCGTGACATGCAGCTCACCTGAGTTCTCAGCACAGCTGAAACCAGCGTGCTGCTTCCTGGTAAACAGACCTTGGGGAAACTGCCCGGTAAAACCTGTCCTTTGGTTTCTCTTCAGGAGTGTTAAGTCTACATTGCTGTTTTATATGCTATAACACCAAAGAAAAGGTGGATTTTTTTTTCTTACTGATTATTGCTGTTATTTTAATCCTGCATTAAAATGTGTGCTTATGTCTACTGAAATGTGTGAAATTTAGTGCAGGCTGGTAAAGCCTGGCTTCAAAACTAATGGAGTCTATTTCAAGTTATCATATATTGCTAGAATATTTTATTATTACATGTGCTGTCTGCTAGTCCAGGTGTTGCCTGACTGAGATATTTTTATGGTATCTTCTGTTGAGTGTAACAAATGTGCTCATTTCCTGAGCTGTTGTTTGTGTGCAGCTGACAGAGCATCAGTACCCTGACCAGCTGAGAGGAGAGGTTCAAACAAAAGAGACATTGTAGAGAGGAGACAGAGAGTGTATCTGGACAGCATTTTCCTTGGAGAAGTCGGGAGATACTGGTGGTTTGTGCACCTCATGTTCCTCAAGCGATTGCAGTAGCAAACTCTGCTAACATTAGAAAAGAACATACAGATTATTCAACCAGAGATTCTCGCTGTCTTCTCCACACACTGATAGGCTTTCCTTGTTTGTTTTTGAAATAGTTTTGCCCCTGTGAATCAAAACAGGTTGCAGTAATACACAAGCCATTATCTAGTCCTTGTGATTTTAACTTACTGCTTTGCTGTCTGTCCCTTTTTCTTACTGGTGTCACTCTGTCTTCTGTTCTTTGCAGAATCAAAGTCCAAGCATTTTATTAAGCTATCAAAATTGTTTGAATTTAAACAGGAAAAAAAGCAAACAACCAAAACCCAAAATACCCACCCCAAACCACGAAGAGCAGGAGTAGGATTCATGCATACAAAGTCCTGTGCATGTAAGAGACTTGTTGAAGAGAGAGACTTGCATGCAGCTTTTGTAGTGTGCACAGAAGTACTTCCAAAGCACACTAAAACTTATTCGGCAGTTTTGGCTGTTTCAGACTTCAGTCACCAGTGCTGCTGCTGTTCAGCTGGCAGTTGGTAGACTGTCCTGGCACAGATATTTTGATGAAAGTGGGGGATTGACTTTGCTGTGTTGTAAATATCATTGTCTGTTTACTTGCCCTTGAAAATGCTGTAAATGCTTTGTTACTGTGTAACGTATGAATTACTGTCATGAGGTTATTTGTAATATAAAACGAGTCTCAGTACAGTTTAAAAACCACTGCTACATTATACTTCTTTACAGGTCGTGAAGGCTGGAAACAAAGTTCATAGCTTTGGAAAGAGGCAACAAGCTATCAGGAGGAATCCCAATGTTCCTGTTATAGTAAGAGGCTGGCTACACAAACAGGTATGTGTGTAATCATCTGTTTCTATTTATGTACTTCAGTACAGTCGTCAAGTAAAAGTAAGTGCCCTCCAAGTCACTGAAAAAAACAGAAGCTTGAACGTTTCTGATGCAGAGCAGTGTTGGATATTCCCACAAGCTTCTGTAATGAGGGGCTTGTGCTCAGCAAGTGTGAAAACTAAGTTTTATATACAGGCTTGATTGGAAACAATTGATAAATGGGCATCACCATCATGGTTAAATGCTGAGGCTGTAACTTTGTTGTCTAAATGTGATTACTTTATTTTATTCTGCTGGCTTGCTGCCACACTGCACTCAGTCTCCCTCAAAATGCACTATAAATCCTAGGCTGGCTGTGAAGGCCTTATTCCATCTGCTTGTTTATGGCCTTATACCCTGATCAGAAGCTTAATTCCAAGCCATGTGCTGTTTGTTCTACAGAGGCAGGAGGGAGAAAAATAAAAGGAAGAAGGGACCCATTCTTCACACATTGCTGTCACCAAGACTGGTGTCCAAGCAAAGACTGGATTATAGGATTTCATCCAACAAATAGAATTTTACAGCTGCTGCATCTTGAACTTTACGCTCACTGAAGCACGCCCTTGAGTGTAAAATGTAAATAAAGTTGTTTATTGTATGGGAATACTTCCCTGCTTCTAATTTGGCAGTGTGCATCAGATTAGCACCAGAGATCCAGCAGCTAGGTTTATGGATGAGTAGGAGGGTGAAATTGAAGGCTTACAGTTATGAGTCTGCATACACAGGAAGGGGAAGTTGCGGACAGCCATCCATTTCCTCCTGCATGGAGAGCTCTATTCTGCTATCAGCTCCGTTGACATCCACTACCCAAGTCCATTAGTTTTCAGGACAAAATCAGAACCCAGACACAGTATGTGTTGACAGTATGGTAGCATGAAAAAGTAAAGGGAAGAAGTTCGTTGCATTATTAATATGACTGCAGAAAGAAGAAGGGAAATAGTATATACAACGCTCCTCTAGCTGTTTCCTTCTATGCTGTTGGTCTCGTCAAAACCTACCTCCGCTGAATAAGTTGTATGTGCTTAGGTTACAGTCTGGGAATTTTATAAGCTTCTAAAATTAATTTCAATGTAAATATTACTAATTTTAGCAAGTTGTTATGTCTTCTATAAAGAGATACGTATCTCCACAAGCATATTGTATTATACTTCATTAAAATTTTGCACATTCTGCACCCTGTTTTGTTTCCTAAGGATTATCTTATTAAAATGTATTTTAGGGTATTTATGGGTAACATACGGGAGATTGACTGTAGAATTGTAGGGGATCATTGTCTGAAATGTGAGATCATACTTCACAGCTCTGTGGTGACTTTCGTCTTGGTCTACAGGCAAGCCTTGGAGTTTGTGTGATCCAGATGCATACTTTGTTTCTTTATTGCTAGAGAAATCTGGATAAAATATGCGTTGGTTGTGTATAAGGTTAATCTGAATGCTCTTTAGGATGTGAGTTTAATTACTTGATGAAAATTAGCAGTTTGAATATTCTATCCTGATTATTTTACAGCTGAATGTTTTGCCTCTTGTCTGTCTTACTATATAATATTTTGCTAAAATATAAGCCCCTTGTTTTTTGCAATTAATACTGTATTTAGGCAGACTTCTGGTAAGCTATTCACTGGTACAGCATTGTATGATAAGCTGTTAACTTGCCTTAAATGAAAAGTGTATCACATTTCTTGCATTTCAGGATAGCTCTGGAATGCGATTATGGAAAAGACGATGGTTTGTGCTTGCTGATTACTGTTTGTTTTACTACAAAGGTGAGTAGATACTAGCTCTTTTGAGTTAGTCTGTGACAGTGTACCTGTTCAAATCACTTTGCAAGCATAAACTAGTTGAACTCTTTAGATATGGCTAGGTATTCTGAGAAGATGCATCGTGAAACAATTACTTATCCATGTGTCTTTAACATGCAACGGATTTTTGGCCAGAGTTAGGGAGCAAGGATTTGCTGTAATTATCTTCTGTCACGTAACTTATGTTTGATATGCGCCAAGTTTTATGTTGCAAAACATTTGGCAGCAATACCAGTTTAAGATTTATACCATCTCTCGTCTGCATTGTGCTGCCTACTTGCTTGCACTTGGACAGCTGATTTTTTGAGAATGCACTTTGGCCAGATAAGGACATTGATTCAACTGTAATCCAAGAGGCAATGTAAGAGTGACTACTCCTGAATCCAGTATTTCTACCAAAAAAGGTTGGATGTGATCTTAGGCTGAACTAGAAATAATGGCATTGCAGATGGCATAACGTTATTTGGAAGTTTTCAATTTTGTGTGTTGTGTTACAATTTTTGGAAACCATTACAGAATATGAAACTCGAATTCATATTTCTAGGCACTGCATTTCAGCTGATGCCAGCAGTAATAAAGGTTTCCTAATTATAGCAATTAGCCTAGATATAGAATTCTAAATGGATGGATGCATGGTCCGTCATGTTATGCAGCCTGTCAGAGTTCATTTGTCACAAGAAGCTTTATTCTCAAGGCATATTCTTCTGTCTGAACCTGAAAAAATCAACCTCTCAAAAAAGAAACTCAACAAAAAAACCAAACTTTTTTTTTGTTACATATTATTTCTTTGAAACATTTTTCTCCATTTATTATTGGTGTTGAGTCATAAGAAAATTGAGGTCTGAAGGAACTTCAGGAACTGTCTGATCCAACTTCCTGGTGAAAGCAGGGTCAAGAAATAAGTCAAACCAGGTTGCTCAGGGCTTAATCCAGTCAGACACTGAAGACCTCCAAGGATGGTGATGGCACAACCTCCCTGGTCAGCCTGTTCTGCTGCTGCTCTGTCCTCATGGGGAAAATTCTTTTCCTGATATCCATTCTCAACTGTTCTTCTCTCTACTTAGTTCCTGTTGTCTGTGCGTCCATAAAGAAGAATTATAGAATCACAGCATGGTTTGGGTTGGAAGGGACCTTAAAGCTCATCCAGTCCAACCCCTGCCATGGGCAGGGACACCTCCACCAGACCAGGCTGTTCAAAGCCCTGTCCAACCTGGCCTTGGACACTTCCAGGGAGGGGGCATCCACAGCTTCCCTGGGCAACCTGTGCCAGTGTCTCACCACCCTCACAGTAAAGAATTTCTTCCTAATATCCAGTCTAAACCTACCCTCTTCCAGTTTAAAACCGTTACCCCTCGTTCTATCACTGCCTGCCCTTGTAAGAAGTCCCTCCCCAACTTTCCTGTAGGACACCTTCAGGAACTGGAAGGCTGCAATAAGGTCCCCCCAGAGCCTTCTCTTCTCCAGGCTGAGCAGCCCCAACTTTCTCAGCCAGTCCTCGTAGGGAAGGTGCTCCAGCCCTCTGATCAAGAATGTGTTGTTACCCTGCTGAAGAGTGCAGTGAATTTTATTCTATTTTTTTATTCAACAGACAGCAGAGAAGAATCTGTTTTGGGTAGCATACCATTGCCTAGTTACGTGATATCTCCAGTTGGACCTGAAGACCACATAAATCGCAAATTTTCTTTTAAGGTACAGTTAAAAAACTTATTAGCTAATCGTTTTTTAAAATCTTTATTTGCATTAGAAAAGATACTGTTGTAAACAGAAACATCATCTGCTTTCCTATTTTTTTTAAAGATGTTTATTGACTGCCTGCTTAAATGTGACATAGCACTATTTGTTGCTTATGAATTGACATTCATATGTCTGTTAGTGTGTGTCTTTAGAGCTTAATGATGCATCTGTGAGTAAAGATTCTGTTTCTAAAATGGCAGATTCATATTGATAAGTTATTACAATGTTTTTCTTTGCAGAATACTTGATGTCACAGTGGGCTGATAGTCTTTTGCTTTTGTTCTGTTCTTTTTTAAATAAAGCAATGAGCTCGGTTCTTGCAGTTAGAAAACATCAGCAGTGTAGCTTTTGATGTATAGTTTCCTTATTGCAAGAGAAAAAAGAGTAACCTTTTTTTTTTCTCCTTTTTTTGTGTGGAGCAATAGTCATCCTAAGTGACATGGAGTGTTTTAAAGAAAAAATACTCTTGTTTTGATATAGTTCAGGTTCGGTTTGTGGTTTTTATTTTAAAAAAAATCCCAAAACTTCATTGTATCATTTACAGTTCTATTCTTTGTTATAAAAACCTAAGGAAATGAAATAAAGCATACATTCCCTCTTGACGAGGGGAGAAACCTGGCTCCAATTGATTGTCTGAGCTGCAGCACCAAGGCATGGTTTAGAAACTCCACTGTATGTTGCAGATTCAAATTCTACCAATATTTGGAGCAGGACCTGTTTTTCTTGATTGCTGACTGCAGACTTGATGCTATAGTTTCATTTTATTTAGAACCAGTTCCTAGGACAGTAGGAGGATTTTGTATTCAACAACCATTCAACACTGACGTTCAGCAGTCACGGAGTCAGCTGTGGGCACGCGGTAGCAGAAGCATGGCTGCATTAGCATTCCACCACTCACCAGGCATTACCTTTATCTAATCTCTTCAGTACACTTCGGTATCCAGAGCGTAGACTGACATTCTGTCTCATGATGTAGTGCAGCCAGAAATAGAAAACATAAGCAGACTAAGCCCAAAAATAAAGATAGGACTTTTTCACATTTAGGTCCAGAATGAGTAGGAGAATGTACCGTGTTACTTTTCACATTTGGCCTGTCATTTATTCAGATTGTTGTAAATTCTCCGCTACAATTGAGGTATTGGCTCCCATTTTAAATGGCTGTTTCAAGTAACAATGAGGTTTTGACGGTAAGGAAGCTTTCAAGCTGCAAAAAAAAAAAAAATCAACGTTTTGGTTTCTAAACTAAAGGAAGGAAATTTACTTAGCAAATACATAGGTGCTTTCTGTATTTGATTCAGTTAGAAGGGGGTCTGTGAAATACATGCTCACTAGGATATATATTAAACCCTGCTAACTGTTAAAATGTACACCATAGTTCTCAAAAATCTTTTCCTTTCATCGTCTCCTAAGGCCCAGCTTTAAGCTGTTGTTCCTGCATACAGGCTGTACAAATGCAATCAAAAACCTGCTTTGAAGTGTAGCAGTCTGTCTGTTAAATTGTTTTGTTTAGAAACTCTGCTTTTGAGTATCTTTCTTGATGAATTTTTCTTATTGTTTATTTGTCCCAAGCAAAGTGCTGTGACTTGCTGTAAGCTACTCCCATTAAGCTGTATGGCAGCCTGTTAGGACTCGGGATCCTTACTGTATTTTTAGTTCAGTAGCTAATATCTTAAAGATATTTAATTAATCTAATTGCTGTATTTTTAATACATTTGCTGGCACAAATGTGAGGGAGCACAAATCCAATGTATAGACTTTAATGTGGAAAAAACTTACACAACAGTAAAATATAGCTGGAAATATTCCTGTGATAAATAGAGAATTGACTGTACTTTTTAGTAATACAACAATTTTAAACATTAATAGTATCTATTTATGAAGGCTTGTGTCATCACAGTGTCTTCAGAAGCCTCGTTGTCCTCAATCATGAAAACTGTTTTTAATTGGTCTTAGGTGTATTAAAATAGATGAGAGAATACTGAAAGTAAACTCATTGATATGAATCTGGCAGTAATACAGATTGAGAAACTTGGAAGGCCTACCAACGTTTCCTGTAAAGAAAACAATGAAACTTTGTGCAAAAATAATGCATGCAAGTATATGTTTGTATTTAGGTGAATATCTTGCTACCATATAGAGTCAATGAAGGATGCTCAGATGTTCCTGTAAGAGGTAGGAAGTAGCATTGGAGATACAAATTACTCCTTTTTATTTTGTTACTACCTTTGAATTTTTTTTCAGAGATACACCCTTTAAACCTGAGGGCATTCAGAGCCTAGGAAGCCAAGCCAAATCATTGCCTTCAGAAGATGCTACTGCAACTTGGTTTTAAACATTTTTTCATTATTGTCAGTCTAAGACGTACTAATGGAAGGATCTGTTCATTGCTTAGACCTCCTGGGACCAGCACGAACTTCTTACCTGTTTCTTTGATCTCACTGGCTTTCCTACAAAATTTTGACAGAGTTTGTTCCTTTATGTTCTCTGGATTGTTGCTTCCTCAGGCTCCCATGTTGCTTTTAAAGTTTCCTTGAGTCTGGGGAGTCAGGTGAAGAAATGCCAAGGGCTATAAATTTGAGAGGTGCCATTTTGGAATTTAGAATAGGGGAGGTTCTAGCTTCTAGAAGTCCTGAGAAAGCTCAGTGTTATTTGAGGTTGAAAGATGAGTTAGACTGCAGTGTGCTGCTGTTGTGTTCAAAGTGAAGGCTCACTATTTTTGCTCATAAATGCTTCACAAATATCAAACTTCAGGAGAAGGGAGAATTTCCTGTATTTTATAGATTATTGAGAGGACTAACTTTGAAAAATTACAGTTATTAGAAAACTGTTCCCCTCCCCATCCCTCTGTCCTATGAACTGTGACTTTTTATCTCCTAGGAATTTTGAATTATTGGAGGTGAAAATAACAGACATTAGTTACTAGGCATTAGTTACTTTTTGTGTAGTCTTTTGTTAAGTATTTTCTTTGGAAACATGAATCTTTTTATGATTTTAACTTGTTTAACTTTTTGTCCTTGTCTTGTCTCATTGATATCCTCTGGGGGTTTACTGTCCATTTCTCCTTCTGTGCATTATGGGAGAGAGACTGCTTTTCTTCTCAATCTATCCACATTAAGGCATCTGAATGCATGAATAGGTACCAATATTATATTTTCCCTGTTGTGTGTATGGTGTCCATGTGCACGTGTGCTGTGTTTTAGGCTTTTTAGTATGCTGTAGTCGTTCTAATAGCTATTGCTTTAAAAAAAAGAAAAAAGAAAAGAAGGGCTAGCTTCTGTGTCTGCTAGCAGTGACAGCTACGGGACATTGGCACAAAGTGGCTTGCTTGCATATAAAACACGCTACTAATAAAGAACTGAAATATGTTTGATTTTTCATTTAACCAGTTTTATATATTATGAACTTCAGAATGTCATGTTGGTTGATAATAACACACTGTCTCCATTTTCCTTTCTGAAGCTCTGAATGTTTATGGCTGTGATAGCTTCAATCTCTCGAAGGAGAATGGTGTGACATACTTTGCACACCATTTTCACCTACAGCCTCTTAGGCAATGCTTTCAACTGTGTTCATCATGAACCACTGAAAGAGAGCCTGAAAGGCAGACAGGTTATGGTGATCAGGACGTACAGGTCAATTAGACAGACAGCTGTTAAATCCGTTTATTGGTGTGGCTACACAGGCTCCACGGTTACCCACGGTTCTGGTGTTGTTTTCAGCGAGTGTGTAACCAGTGAATGATAGGGTCCTACTGAATTCAGTCATCTTCTATGGGCTCCATGTGGTGTGTGAAGGAACCTTGTAGTCATAAAGTCTAGCGTTAAAATCACTGGTTTCCTTTACATCTAGAGCTGCAAATTTTTGGTCTGTTCTTACACTGGATGCTAACCGTAAGTTGCAATGAATTAAATGTTTCTAAATCATATTTGTTATAACCATTTGGAATAATCTCAAAATGGCAAAAAAGCCCCAAAAGACCCCAATAACAACAAAGAAAACTCAGATCCAAAGGACTCAGCCAGGCACATGTGAAAAAAATATTGTGATTACTAAATACACAACTGATTAGAGCTACTTCTTCATGTGTGTAAGTCCTGCTTTCCCATGTTAAGGTGGGTAGCAGGAAGCTACCTTATATTCCCTTATTAGCTGATGCTGTTGGAAAGCAGAGGCTCTTTGGAATGGGAGAGAGTCTTGAACTTCTTGATGTTACTCTTTCCTCCTCTTCCTTCTCCTCCTTGTTCTGGCTGGCTGTCATACTGCAATCTCAGCCAGAGGCTGACCCCTGCAGAGACTGCTGCCACAGTTTTCAAAACAAACTGAGGCTTCCTTGCTTGAGACACAGAAGGGAAAGGCCACAATTACAAGAACAGGCTCAAAAGGGAGTCAATTTTCCACAAAACTTAATAGCAAGCAAATATTTTGCTTTTTGGAATTGTTGATACGAGTGTGTAAGATTACGGTATTTTGGGAAATCCATGGTAAATAGCTGAAATTACAACACTTGGGGAAGTCTGCACTGGATTAAATAGGGTTTTGTCAAAACTGTTGCTGTGTTTCTGAAGCCATCTGTGATCGTAGAATGTTTGTTTGGTTTTTATTTTAAATTCGGAATAGTGAGTGTGAGAGAACTTCATCAAAATAAAAAGCCAAGTCATTTAGAGAAGATTTGTGAAATCTGTTTAACCTTTGAAAGAAGATGTAGCAGAATTAAAAAGTTGAGATAATTTTTTTTCCTTTTTAAAAAACCCTGTCTCAGCAGTGTTTCATGCCATTAGCTTTTGTGTGTGATAGCAGGTTTAGTTTTATAAAAAGCAGTTTAAATTAGTAATTTTGTTTTAATATCGTCACAAGAGCTTTCAAGCTGAGTTTACTGTCTTCAGGTTTTTTTGAAAGTAAAGAAATTAATCTCTCTATACTAACCTGAAGCACATCTGTAAAGTAACTTTGAGGAAACATAGTCAAATGTTTCAGGACTGATACAACTAAGTCATTCTATCTGTGTTACTATCTATACTCTTGCTTATACGATTGTGGATGAGAATTGATTAAATTCAACAAGCCTAGAGTTACAAAGACATTCCATATTGAATACATTTGAATATTGAATGTATTTCTAGAGGAATTTCCAAATACCTCTAGTTTGCAGTGGAATTTCATGGAGACCTTTTGGTGTGCAGAGATACTCTTAAATATTTTGTCCTGTGATAATTTCAGCAGTATTACTAACTTCATCAGTAAGTCTTGGCATTTTTGCAGCTAATACAGAGGTTCAAGTGCACACTTTAACTGGAAATTCTTAACATGCATTATAATCACTTCTTAAATAAGCAGTTTAATTGCTTGAATGATAAGATTTTTGTCTATGTTTTGTCTGAATAAATTGCTTTATTAAATGGGCTTGCTTACACATGTTGCAGAACTCCTTTAATTTGTTTTGTTTCGTGTTTATGGCAAATGAAATGTATCTGTTAAAAGAAAATGAAAAGCTGAAATTTCCTACTATGAAAAACAGAAGTGCAGCACTTTTAGCTTAATAATGAGAAAAAGAGGTAGAGGAATTTCAGTAAAAACCACAGAATGCCATTTGAGTTTGCTGCACTACCACCCATTGTGACAGTATAATAATGTCACCAAAAATTTGAGATGTTGTCAAAGAACCTAGGAAGGTATTTAAGGGTATCATGAAAAGTTACAGTAAATTTGCTGGGGAGTGGAAAGGAAGGGCTGTCTGACGTGGTTTGTTTGTTTGTTTTTTTGTTTTTCCCCACCTACAGGCAGTTCATACAGGTATGCGGGCATATATTTATAATAAGAATTCTGTTATTGGCTCTCAGGCAGAGCATTCAGGGATGCGGACGTACTACTTCAGTGCAGATACCCAGGAGGATATGAATGGCTGGATCCGGGCTATGAATCAAGCTGCTCTTATGCAAACACGTTCTTCACTGAAGAGGCAAGTTCAATACACAGACTGTTAGTTTTTATGCTTTTTTAAAATATATTTTATATGTGTGTGCATGTATATTAAAAAATCAGACTGAGGGTGATTTCTGAAAGTGGTATTTGTAAATGTGTGCGTGAAACTTACTCCCATTCTAAAGAAATAATTCTTTTTAATTTACATTCTGTTGCAAATCAGTTAACTAACATTAATTTAAAAAACCTGGTATTCAGTATTTGTGTCCATGCACAAGTTGTGTGCCCACATTTAGTGACATGGATTAATTTTTGTATATGTATAATTTTTTAGGGAATTTCAGTTAAAAAGTTACACTTTTTGTGAGCAAATTCATACACCTGTAACAGCCAACTGGCAGCCTTGAGAAGAGATAAGTAAAAGGGAGAGGACAGAAGAGTAATGAGTTGTTTCAAATGAGTGTCTAGAACTAGGATTAAAATGCTGTTAAGAGAGAAAAGAATGTTAAAGATGGGTAAATCTCAAGTACAAAGAGTTGTGGATATTAACTAATTTGTCCAGATATTAACTGCTTACTTTTTCCTTCCTTTGGTGGACTTCAATACTTGTAAGGGTTTTTTATGTTTTTTCTCACTGTGGAAAGACGGCGCTGTTACAGAGAGGATGTCCTTTGTCCCATTGTTCTTAATTAGTGCTGGAGGCAAAAGAATTCAGCTGTGCCTTCATATGCTTCCAGTTTTTCCCTCTTAAAATTGGTGTAGCCTTCTTGATGTTTTGGCTTTGAGAATGTGATTCTTTCCGTACAACTCCTTGTGAAAGAAGACACTGTACTGCAAGACAGCTCTGCTTTTAACCCTTGGGGCTGTAAGGATTAAAATGCCATGGAGCAGTTTCTTAGTATCTTACACTACTGCTTGCTTTCAGTAAATCAAATACAAAGGTCAATGTCTCTTCCAGAACTTTGCATCCTATATGATTTTGTGTTAAGATTTTCTGGATTTAATTTAAATCTCAAATTACATGTAGCCTATTACCTGGTTGGTTTCTTTATAACGACAGGAATAATTGAAAGAAAAATTGTGTAATTTGGCATGTCAGAAGTATTGATCCAGTGTCCTTCTTCTAGTAGGCTGTTCATTTTGAGACACTAAGTAGACTGGAATGAAAACAGTTGTTTCATGGCACTTACTCAGAATTCACCTTCCATAAAGCTTTAAAGAAGCTGAACTTAGTTTCATAGAAGATGAGGTGCTACTCCAAGATCAGTGATACTCCATTGAATCGTAAGAGAAAAAAATGTTGTCAAGAAGCTTATTACTATAAGGAGATGAAGGAAACCGCAAATGTGTCAAAAGCAGCATAAAACTTTTAGGATCCTTAGACATTTTACAGTGTGTTGTGAGTTTAATATAAAGATTTCTGGTACAGAATTTTTGACATATTTAGACAGTAAGGTAAGTGAGTAAACTAGTGTTCATGTATTGGGAGCAATGGAAATTATTATTTTTATTTTATTTTTTGCAAGAATAGTCCCCAGGTTAGAAGTGGCCTGGGCAATGATAGTACTACCTCAGATGTAAGGTGTTCTGTTCTCTTGGCCAGAAATTACTAGGCCCTAAGGCATCTACAGGGATATGAAAGACATTTTTGACTTTGAAATGAGCAGTTGACAGTTTGGTTTTGTTTCGTTGTCTTCCAATGTTTTCCAGGATAGGAAGACTCTTTTTACAGTAGTTTATATGTAGTAGTACACAAGTTGAACATTTCTTTCATACACTATTAGTATTTTCAGTCATTCTTACAGATGCATAGAAATTATTTCTGCATCTTTGCTGTCACTCTGAAGGTAACTTCTGTCTGACTGGGATAACAACGGGGTTTTGCTGTGTATATCTATCTTAATGTATTTCTGTCAAATATATTACGGTCTGGAGAAGGTGTGTTTGTGGGGATCCTTTCTAAAATAGTAACAAGATCGTATCAACTTTTCACAACTAAGCAGTGTTCATTACTGACATGTATTTTCTTTTCAGAGAAACTGAAAAAGTGGATCAGCAAGCTGTTCCTCAAGTCAATCATGTGGATGCCTGTAAAGAGTGTGTGAAGGAAGAAATTACAGACACAAAGGAGAGTTGTCATAAATCATCTGAAATGCTTGGATATGATAAGCATGAAGAGATAAGAAGAGAAAAAGAGGAGGAGGAGCATTATATCCATAGAAAAGAAACTCTGGAAAATAAGAAGGGAAAGGCTAAGCATGTGTTAACAGAAACTGATTCATTATTTCCAGACTTAACAAATGCATCACAGTCCCAAGTAGCTCAGCCTCAGCCAGCTGAGAAGAATGGAACACTTCCTAGTTCATTAAGTGTGAGTGCTGGCCTAGTGGAGCAGAATGGTACCAGCTCATATAAAAGAGGATTTGTTCCCAGAACAAATCCAGATAAACAGATTCAAAGAAAAAGTAACATAGCTCATGTGGAACGCTGGGTAAAAGTCCAAAAAGGAGATACAAAAAGGTTAGTAATAGGTCCATCTTTAAATAGACTGCCAAATGGTGTTTTCTTAAACTAAAGTTTGTATTAGTGATATCTTTAATGCAAGTCAGAATGATATTTTAAAGAGACAGTATATGTTGATAATAAAAGTTACTTTCTGCTGCAGTGCAGAAAGGTGTTTTTCAGGTGTTTATCTCATGGGAAAGTCAATATGAGATTGGCTGATCAAGTCACTAATGTTGTCACTGTCTTGCGAATGGAAAAAGTGAGATTAAAGTGCTGGGTTTTTCACTGTTTTTAATCACTGTGGATGCTTAAAACGTCTTAAAATTTGCTGCAATTGAAGAGCCAGAAGGTGAAGTGCAGCCCTCACTTACCTCTTACTCATGAAGGACTACATGATATAATTTCTAGATAGGGGTTTGTTTTCCACTTAAAAGTAAAGAATGTTGATTATTTTTTTTGGTTCTCTCTCTTGTTCCTCTTTCAAACATCCATTCACTCCTCTATGTCTGATCACTGGACTCAAAGTCACGATGTGTGCCTCAAATATTGAAAGGTCTCCGTATATTAATTTAGTTAATGAAGAGGTCCTAGGATGTTTCTGTGGTCTTCAGGATTATCTTTTCCCTTTTCAGTGCCTGAAAATTACATAAATTGTACCAAGAGGTGGAATGCATGCTGTGAAATGCTTCTGTAGTTTGAAAATCTCATAATGGCTTTACTTTCCAGGTGTGCAGTTCAGACACCAGTTGAAAAAGATGAAGTGATGTATATATGCCTGTGTTCAGAGTGTCACCTTATGTCAAGTGTCAGGAAAGACAGTTGGGCTTTATGCTGCGTATGAAGATTTTTCAAATATGGGTGACCTACTGAATTAATAGCTTATAAACTTCCTGAAATCTAATTATAATATAGAACAACAGGAGACATTAGCATGTGGTTCTTTGGAGGGATAAAACATTTTGGGTGATTTTAAAAAAATATTTATTGAAGCTAACATTTGTAATTTTGGATCCAGTAAGAAATTTAAGGCTTGCTAATTCTGTTTGGAAGTCCGTTCTTCTACTGTCTCATCTTTGGAATTACCCTTAAAGAAGCTTTCATACTTT